GAGGTTGGAGGCTGTGGGTGGGAGGTCACCTGAGGTGATGAGGTTGTGGATAGTTTGCGAGATGATGGTTTGGTGCTCAGGGGTGGGGTCATGATCAAGGGGGCGGTAGGAGGAGGTGTCGGAGAGTTGACGTCTGGCCTCGGCGATGTAGAGGTCAGTGCACCATACTACAACTGCGCCTCCCTTGTCCACGGGTTTTATGGTGAAGTTGGGATTGGAGCGGAGGGAGCGGAAGGCTGCACGTTCTGCGGGGGAGAGGTTGGAGTGGGTGAGAGGGGTGGAGAGGTTGAGGCGATTGATGTCTCGACGGCAGTTGGAGATGAAGAGGTCGAGGGAGGATAGGAGGCCTTGGGGTGGTGTCCAGGAGGAGGGGGTGTGTTGGAAGCAGGAGAAGGGGTCAGTAGAGGGAGGGTTAGGTTCACGGTTAAAGAAGTAAGCGTGGAGGCGGAGGCGGCGGAAAAACTGCTCTATGTCCAAGCGTGAGCGGTATTCGTTGATCTGTGGGTGGAGGGGGACAAAGGTGAGCCCTTTACTGAGGACTGACCGTTCGTCCTCAGTAAGGGGTAGGTCTGGGGGGATGGTGAAGACTCGGCAGGGCTGGGTGCTGCTGTCTCCTCTGGAGCTGCTGGCTGTGGAGGTGGTGGGCGGAGTTGCGTTGGCATCGGCTGTGGGCGGAGTTGCGTCGGCTGTGGGCGGAGTTGCGTCGGCGTCGGCTGTGGGCGGAGTTGCGTCGGCTGTGGGCGGAGTTGTGCCGGCGTCGGCTGTGGGCGGAGTTGTGTCGGCGGTGGGCGGAGTTGTGCCGGCGTCAGCGGTGGGCGGAGTTGCGCCGGCGGTGAGTGGAGTTGCGTCCACATCGGTGATGGGCGGACCGGCGTCGGAGGTAGGAGGAGCGGGGTAGGCGGTGGCAGTAGCGGTGAGGGTGGTCGCGACTTCAGTGTCGGTGGCAACGGCAGCGATGGTGTTTGCTGTCCCAGAAGTGGGGAACCCGGCGGTGGCGGATGTGACGTCATCTGTTGGTTCTCCGATAGTGGCCTCATGGCCGATGGCGGCGGACCCATTGTGGGGAAGGTCCTGGGTACGGCTGGGGATTTGGGGGGTGGAGGAAGCCCGTTTTGGGTGGTAGGCACCAGTAAGTTTGCTGTACTTACGGTTTTTAGTGTCCAATAAAGCTGAGTAGAATTGGGAGTTCAGATTGTGGATCCTACGAAGAATAAAAAACAGGAGAGGTCCTTTGCAGGTCTGGGAGAGGGAGGCTCTGAGCTGGGGTAGGCTTGATTGTAGTGCCTGGAGATGCCGGCGCATTGCCGCAAGTGTGTGTTTCAGGAGTCGCAGGGAGAAACGCTTCTGAAGGATCTCAATACCATGAGTGTAGATATTATCACGGTTGGGGCCAAATTGGGAAGGCTTGAATGTGGATTGTAGTCCATTGGGGATGATCTGGTTCCGTAGGCAGGTGCTAAGGAAGGTGATGTGGCTGTAGTACCTGGTTTGCTTCAGGACGTGGTCGAGCAGTTTCAGGGCCGAAGAGATTACGAGAGAGTTGCAGTGGGAGAGAGATCCCTTGAGGTTTGTCCGGAGGGAGGAAGGTAACTTCTTCAGGTTAGGCATCCTTAGAAGAGGCTTCGCAGTGGGGTTAAAATTGAATCAGAGATAGTAGGAACTGCAGATGCTGGAGAATCCGAGACAACAAGGTGCAGGGCTGGATGAACACAGCAGGCCAAGCAGCATCATAGGAGCAGAGAGGCTGAGAGTATCTCGCAGGTTTTGTTCATGTAAATAGAAGACCTTTGATTAGTAGATATACAGTAGTTTGCATCACAAGCATTACAAGTCTGTATTAATTTTTAGCTGGCATCAATTGCCTCCAAGGTTCTTTTGATCTCAATCATTTTTTTATTCATTAGCGGGATGAGGGCATCGCTGATTAGGCAGCATTTTATTGCCTATCCCTAACTGCCCCAGAGGGTGGGTCTGGTGTCACATTTAAGCCAGAGCAGGTAAGGATGGCAGTTTCCTTCTCTAAAGGACGTTAGCGAACCAGATGTTTTTTTCCAACAATCAACAATGGATTCATGGTCATCATTAGACTCTTAATTCCAGATTTTTTTTATTGAATTCAAATTCCACCAGCTGCTGTGGCGGGATTTGCACCCGGGTCCCCAGAACATTACCTGGGTCTCTGGATTAAGAATCCAGTGATAATACCATTATGCCATTGACATCCCACAATCTTAATTGCGTTAAACTGTCAAGTTGCCTCAGGGCCATGATGCATCCTATGAAGGCATACTACCACACCTTGGTGGGCACTGCACCGCTCCAGTTAAGTTTCCACTAAACTATTTCCCCTGGGATTTCATCTGGTCATATGTCATGGTACACAGTGTAATCAGATCCTTTAACCATTCAAATATTTTCAACTCGGCAAACAGCATGGTGTTGGGTCCCTGATGGTATTACAAATATGGTAGCGCCAATCCCAAGAAGACCCAGTAATAAATTTGTTTGGACCATTCCCAGCGTTTGGTGAGATGCCAAATTTTCTCTCCCTCTTGGTTCTGAATTAATCAAACTCAAAATACTAACCTCCCTGTGCATATGCCTGCGTATAATTCTGTAATGAATATTCTTAATTTCCAATTCTATGTTACCTATGAGTCTCAAGCCAATTTATAGGACTAAACCTTTAACTAGCTCCGCTCTTACACATCTATGGCAAGAATGCCTACTTTGTCACTCAAATCAATTTTTTTCTAAAGAATTCTATCATACTCCCATAAGGTTTGTTGTTCTCATTAAACAAACAAACAGAAATTTAACAAAATTTATTTTTTAAAGAATTCATTCATAGGATGAGTGTGTCGCTGTTAGGCCAGCATTTATTGCCCATCCCCGATTGCTTTGAGCGCAGTTAAGAGTCAGCCACATTGCTGTGGGTCTGGAGTCACATATAGGTAAGGATGGCAGTTGCCTTCCGTAAACGACATTAATGAACCAGATGGGGCTTTTCCGACAATTGATTCATGGTCGTCATAAGACTCTTAATTCCAGATTTTTATTGAATTCAAATTCCATCATCTGCTGTGGTGAGATTACAGCCCATGCCCCAGAACATTATCTAGATCTCTGGATTAACAGTCCAGCAATAATACCACTAGGTCATGCAGCACAATTGTTTATGAAAAAAGAGGAAAAGGACATATGATATCAAACTGTTGCCAATGGTTTAAGATGAAGAGTAATGGTCATCAAACAAAATTGTGTGTAAGAGGCTAAGAACATGAATTAAGGGATAAAGAAGGTAAAGGTAAAGTCCTACATTCTTACCAGACTAAAGGCCTATGGTAGCTAGTTTGCAAAAAAGAATTATTTCTCCTGGTTTGTGATTCTATAAATTATAATGTCAGTTTCAAAATTAGATTGGATAAATATATGAAGAAATAGGGGTTGAAAGAATAATTGAACAGGTATATAGGAAACCAAGTTTCAAAATTTATTTATGATCAACTATTGAAGGCTATGAAAAACATTAAAGCAAAGATTAGAACAGTGTGTGCATAATTGGCAAATGGAATTTAATGGCATATGAATGAGGGAATGCAATTTTGAAAAATAAGCGAAGAATAAGAGCATATATTCAATGGAAGATTCCTCGAATATGTGGATAAACAGAGAGACCTAGAGATTCAAATGTATAATTCCCATAAAATGTGGCTCTATGTCAATAACAGTATCTTTTATAAATTAGAGTAGAAGTCAAGAACAAACAAATGGTGATAAATTTAAGCAAGTTTTTTTTTTATTAAGCCACAGTTGGAGTACATTGTGTATTGATGACTGTACAGAATGTTTGGGTCATGCAGAGTATGAGACACAAATTTCCAAGAATGATAACTGGCCATGAGATATGATTGACCAAAAACTGAACTGGGTCAGACATACAAATACTTTGACAACATCTGCACATCAGAGCTAGGAATTTCATGGTGAGTAAATCACCTGCTGTCACCAGTGATCCACCATCTGCAAGGCACAAGTCAGGAATGTGATGCAATACTCCCTGGATGAGTGCAACTCCAGGTTCATTCAAGAAGCTTGATGCCAACCAGGAGAAAGCAGTCCATTTGATTGGCATCCCATGCATCACCTTCCACATTTGCTGCCTTTATCACCAATGCGCAGCCATAACAGTGTGTGACATCTACAAGTTGCACTGTAGAAACTCACCAATGCTCCTCAGAGAGCACCATCCAAACCCATGTCATATAGCATCAGGAAGGACGAGCAAGGGAGAAGAATAATGATCACTATCACCTGCAAGTTCCTCTCCAAGCTTAACTTTAAACTGTATCATTGTGGCTGGGTCAAAATCCTGAAGCTGCCTTCCTGACAGCACTATGGGTGTCCTTACACCCCATGGACTGCTTTACTTCAACTAAGCAGCTCAGAAATCATCTTCTCCAGGGCAACTAATGATGGGCAGTAAATGTTGGCCTAGCCAGCAGGTGCCCATAATAGATGTACAGATAAAAAAAAGTCAGATGTTGCTTTTGCATTCCAATAATTACATTCATCACTTAATACATGCATTGGAAGAGATTATTTCATGATCACTGTGAACTCTTATCAAAATAAAGGAACAATATGGATGCAAAATATTATGAAGCATATTTACATGAATGGAGATCTGCAGACAGGAGAGTGCAAACCATCTTATTCTGAAGTTCCCTGGCTGGAGTTAACACACAAGGAGATTAATACTGATGATCGTCCATCACCACGTTTGTTTGTTACACATCTACCTTATCAACTGATACCAAAAGCTCTAAAGAACAAAACGACTAAGGTAAGATTTCTTACTTGCGAAGCCGCAATAAAATTAAACTGCAAATTGAAAACAAAAATTCCTGATAAATATGCGTATGATGATCTTTTGTTTTAGTTTAAAATGTACAAGTGGCAAATAAAACATCTTTAGCATGGTATTGGAAAGGACCATGGTTTTAAAATAATGCGTCAACCATTTGGAACTTAGATGAGGAGAAATCTCTTAATTAAAATGGTTGTGAATTTCTGGCATACACCACATCAGAGAGGTACAGATGCTTGGTTGATGAGATTGATAAATTTTTGATTACTAACGATCAAGGGATAAGATGATGGGGTTGGGAGGGAGCTGTGGAGTGGCAGTGGGGAGATGAATAGGAAATAGAAGTTGAAGTGGAGATTAGCTAAGGAGGTGCCTTGTTTGTATAGTGGTTAGTATCCCTGCCTGTCATATGGGAAACAGGGGTTCAGTTCCTTGGCAAGGAAGGTCTGCGTAAATAAGAATGCACCTTTTTTGCATTAGCAAATTAGTTTTACAGAGATGAGATGGAATTGCTTTGCTCAAAGAGTTGCAAATCTGTGGAATTTATTAGCCCAGAGTGCAGTGGATGCTGGGACACTGAATAAATTTAAGGAGGAAATAGACAAATTTTTAATTAGTAACGCGTTGAAGGATCATGGGGAGCAGGCAGGAAACTGGAGTTGAGGCCAAGATGAGATGACATTGTATTGAATGGTGGATTAGGCTTGAGGGGCTGAATTGCTTACTCATGTTCCTAGTTCTTATGTTCTTAAAGTGCTGAAAGAACAAATGTTGCTCCTATTTTTATGTTCTCATTTATATACTTTACAGAATTATTCTAGTTGCTTCTGTAGCAAAAGGAAGTGTATCCTACATAACAGTACATCATTAATCGGTTACATATTTGTGTTGATCAACTGGATATATACTGTGCAGACTCACCCCCATATTTAGTGTTTTCCAAACCAAGCTACTGAATAATCCACATAGGCAGCATTTATATTTCCTTGATTTGGAGTGATACTCTCCCAGTTAGAACATGTCTTGTTTGCTGAAGTCCAGAATCTAGACACATAGGTAGTGGGGCCAAAATGTAGGTGTAGGCCCAATTACGTGCAGAGGTGCAGCAAGTTTTTAATCAGATGTCAGGCTTAGTAATAACAATCTTGCCTCAAATAATACAAATGCAGTCTCCTACTTTCGATTCAATTTATTCAATGCTCTCTCAAAAGAAAGAAGATAGATTGAAAACTGCAAAGAATTTGCTGTTTACAATGAAGTTTTATTTGACAGGTTATCTATGTGTACAGAAACCCAAAGGATGTTGCAGTTTCTTACTATCATTTTCACAAATTTGCTAATTATTTGGAAACCCCAAAAAACTTTGGAGCTTTTCTGCAGACATTTCTGAATGGCCAAGGTAAGGTGGTATAAATTGCCCCCCACTTTCAGGTATGTATTGCATCTTATAATAGATACTAGTAATCCAATATTGAATGTGGTGTAAGTCAAATTGGTGCACTTTATTCAAAGTCCAAAATATGGAAAAATCTTAGCAACTTTCTAAATGACAACTTCTCCTCAAATGACATTAGCTGAAATACCTTTTCTAATTCAGAGACCCAGGTAATTGTCTGGGACCCACATTAAAATACTACCATGACAAATCTGGAATTACAAGTTAAATGATGACCATAAAACCATTGTTGATTGTTGTAAAAACCCATCTGGTTCATTGATGTCCTTTAGGGAAAGAAATTAGCTGTACTTACCTGGCCTGGCCTATATGGAACTCTAGACCCCCAGAAATGTGGCTGATTCTAACCTGCCCTCTGAAATGGCCTAGCAAGTCACACAGTTGTATCAAACCAATACAAAATCTAAAGGAATTAAACTGGATCACCTGGTAGTGACCAAAGCACTGAAAATGGCAATGGCAAACTTAGCCTTGTTGAACCTCCATGTCTTCCTTACTAACATGTGGGGGCAAGTACCAGAATTCAGGAAGGTGAATTCTGACTCAGAGTAGTCAAGCAACAACTTGACATAGTCATAGTCAAGGGCTCATATGTCACAATGTCCAGGCACGATCGTCACCATTGCTGGATATGTCCTGTCCCATGGGTAGGTTAGACTGTGTGTGGTATACAGTCAGGAGGGAGTTGCCCTGGAAGTCCTCAAACATTGACTCTTGACCCAATGAAGTCTTATGGCATTTGGCCAAACATGGTAAAGATACCAGCAAAACAGAAATTGCTGGAGAAACTCAGCTGGTCTGGCAGCATCAATGAAGAAAAAATGGAGTAAACCTTTTGAGTCCAGTAACCCTTCTTCAGCTGCCAGACCTATTGAGTTTCTCCAGCAATTTCTGTCTTTGTTTCAGATCTCCAGCACCAGCAGTTCTTTATTTTACATTATTATATTAAAGATAGCTCCGTGATTACATCGCATCACACCCCCTAGGCAGATGAATCAGTACTCCTCCATGCTGCACGGCACTTTGAGGAAGCACTGAGGGTGGCAAGGAAGCAAAGTATACTCTGGGTGGAGGATTTCAATGTTCACAATCAAAAGTGGCTTGGCAGCGCCAAAATGACTGAGCTGGTCAAGTCTTATAGGATGTAGATGTCAGACTGAATTTGCATCAGGTGGTGAGGGAACCAACAAGAGGGAAAAATATACCTGAGCTCATCTTCACCAATCTACTGCTTTGATGCATGATAGTATCAGAAGGATGTCCACTGCATAGTCCTTGTGGAGTCAAAGTCTTGTCTTCACATTAAGAATATTTTCCATCGTGTTATGTTGTAGTACAGACTTGCTAAATGGGATAGACTACCAACTCAAGACAGGGCCAACAACAGCAACAGAAGTGCACTCAAATACAATCTTCAACCTCATGACCCTGCATAATCCCCACTCTACCATCACCGTCAAGCCAGTCGATCAACTTTGGTTCATTGAAGAGTTTTAAAAAATTCATTCTTGGGATAGGGGCATTGCTGGCTAGGCCAGTATTTATTACCCATCCCTAATTGCCCAGAAGGCAGTTAAGACTCAACCACATTAATGTGGGTCTGGAGTTCCATGCAGGCCAGACCAGGTAGGGATGGTATTTTCCTTCCCTAAAGGACATTAGTGAACCAGATAGGTTTTTCCTGACAATCAATAATGGTTTCATGGTCATCACTAGCCTCTTAATTCCAAATTTTTACTGAATTCAAATTCCACCATCTGGCATGGCAGGATTCAAACCCAGGTCCCTAGAACATTACCTAGGTTTCTGTATTAACAGTCTAGCAACAATACCATGAGGCCATTGCCTACCCTTAAGAAATGGAGAAGGAGTAGCTCCAAGCATAGCTATGAATGAGGTCTCAGCTACTGCAGTTATGGCACAGGAGTACTTATCTGCAAAACAGCATAAACTGCAAATGATAAACAGAGCAAAATGATTCCACAATGGATCACATCTAAGCTCTGCAGTTCTGCCACATCAAGTCCTGAATACATAAGGACATAAGAAATAGAAATAGGAGATAGCCATTTGGCCATTCAAGCCTGTCTAACTTCCAACAAAATCATGGCTAATCTGGCCCAGGTCTCACCTCATCTTTCATGCCAGTTTATCATAGCACTCAAGTTCCATAATTGTAGTGGAAAGATAAATAACTCACTGGAGGAGGAGGCTCAATAAATATCCAAATCCTCAATGATGGTACAAACTAAAAGGTCAGTGCAAAAGATAAGGCTGAAGCAGTTACAATAATTTTCAGACAGAAGTATCGAGTGGGTGATCCATCATAGTCTCCTCCCGTGGTCCCCAGCATCACAAATGCCAGTCTTCAGCCAATTTGATTCAATTCATTTAATATCAAGAAATGGTTAGAAGCATCAGATACTGCAAAGGCTGTGGGTCCTGAAAGTATTCCAGCAACAATACTGAAGAAACAAAAGCAGAAATTGCTGAAAAAACTCAGCAGGTCTGGCAGCATCTGTGGAGAGAAATCAGAGTTAATGTTTTGGATCGAGTGACCCTTCCTCAGAACTGGGTACACGCAACCTGAAATGTTATCTTTGATTTCTCTCTACAGATGCTGCCAGGCCTGCTGACCTTTTCTAGCAATTTCTGTTTTTGCTTCTGATTTACAGCATCTGCAGTTTTTTTTTCAGTTTTTAAGAATACTGAAGACTTGTGCTTCAGGACTTTCCACACTCTGGCCTAGCTTTTCCAATTTAGCTACAACACTGGGATGTACCCTATGGAAAATTGCCCAGGTATGTCCTATACATAAAAAGAAGGAAATATCCAACCAAGCCAATCACTGCCCCATCAGCCTATTCTTGATCACCAGTAAAGTGATGGAAGGTGCCATCAACAGTGCTATCAAGCAGCACCTGCTCAGCAATAACCTGCTCAGTGACACCCAGTTTGGGTTCTGCCAGGGCCACTCAGCTCTTGACCTCATTACAGCCTTGGTTCAAACATGGACAACACCCCTATATTACCCCAGAGGTGAGGTGAGAGTGACTGCCCCAAGAAAGTAACTCATCATAACCTTAAGTGTGAAAAGGGATAGGCAATTAATGCTGACCCAGTCAGTGAAGCCCACATTCTGTGAATGAATAAATAAAATGCTAATGATCGCTGCCATATGGTAGATTTAGGTGTATTTGTGGACATTTGGACCTTTTACTCCACCTCAAAATTTGACAAAAATCAAAATTACACTGAAGTTTGTTAGGAGAATCTCCTAAATAGTTAAAGTGGATCGGCAATTTATTTTCTGAAATGTGACTCTTCTTGCGCAACTATTGATATTGGCACCAGCTGCAGCCTTTTGCAAAGATCTAATCCAAGGGTCCTTTTAGTGGAATGTTTACTTTAACCAAATGTCTTTATCAATCTACTCCTGGTAAAATAATTAATCTTACTCCATTATGTTAAAATTTCATATTTCAGAATTAAGAAGAACTGCTTCATGCTCAATATGGTTCAACAACTGCCGTAGGTTGATCACTTAATGACCAAGTAATTTGTTCTTTTTATCAGTTTTGTCTAATTTTCCAAAATTTTGTTTTTGTCATAGTGGATTATGACAGCTGGTTTGATCATGTTAGGAACTGGTATGATCACAGGCATGAATTCAACATTATGTTCCAGTCATATGAAGAGATGATCAAGGTAAATTGCACTTGTATTTGATCCCAGTATAAGTTTCAGATGTCTATATGCATATCAGATGATGTATTTCATATCCTTGAGACCCTCTATTTCTGTCTTTGTGGCATCACTGCTGCCTTTGCTCAATTAATACTGAAACCCTCACCTGCATCTTGACTAATCTGATAAACCTTGCATGTTCTAACTTCCAAATAACTTGAAGTCATCCAATCCTCTGCTGCCCACATCATTACAAACACCAAGTTCACTCCTCATTCCTGTGTGCCCTAACATGGGTTTTCTCCTGGCTAAGCAACATTAATTTTACAATTGTCATCCTTGGTTTCAAATGCCATGATCTCATTTCCTCCAATAAAACCTATACCCTATAACTCCAAACCATCTGACTTAACTGAACTCCTCCTACCCTGGTCTTGTTGTATCTTTAATTTTATTTTCCAACATTGGTGGCTATATCTTCACCTATCAAGGCCTTAAGCTCTGGAATTCTTTCCTAATATCTCTCCACTTCTCTAGATTTCTTTCCTCTCAAAGGATATTCCTTAAGAGATATCATTTTGCTCAAGCTGTTTTTCATCTGCCCTTATATCTCTGTACATTTTTTATAACCCTCTCCATATATTTTTGGATGTTTCACTACTTTAACTGTGCTATGAAAATACATGTTAAAAAAGTTCTACAAATAACCATTTCATAGATTTTTCTTGTCCAACAAGCTTACTAAGAGTTGAAAATATTTCATACATTTTGAATGTATAGCACTGTGGCTATTTTACTCTTGAAAAACACCACTTTATTTCACAACAGCAGTGACCATCTGGAGTTTAGGACTGCCAGTAAGATAGTGAATGAAGAGTTATTAATGATTTGCACCACTCGTCAAAATCTTCAATATCCTCAGATTGTAACAATCACACATTATCCACCCCTATCCTTAATCTGCCTGCAGTACTTGGACATGGTCAATCACATTTTTTGTGGATTAGGCCCACAGGACTTTTGTTTCTGTTCTGTTCAACAAATTAAAATCACCATCTGTGAATCCCTCTGCAATTCTGCCACACACTAGGTCTTATGGCCTTTTCTATATTCTAACCCTGGTTAGGCTGTGCATTGATTGAATATGCAAAAAACTGAAGAAACCTTGCTATGGTATGCATCAGTGAGCACTTCAGAAGGCATTTAAACATAGAAAAGACGCAAGTAGGCCCTTTGTCTTTTCAAGTTTGCCCTGCCATTCAATGTTGTCAAGGCATCCAACTCAGTACCCTGTTCCTCCTGTTTTCACACCATACCTTTTGATCCCCTTAGCCAGAAGAACTATATCTAACTCCTTCTTGAAAATATTCTATCTTTTTATCCTCTTAACCAGAAGAACTATATCTAACTCCTTCTTGAAAATATTCTATCTTTTGTCCTCAACTACTTTCTGTGGCAGAGAATTCCACAGCCTCACTACTGTCTGTACGAAACCATTTCTCCTCATCTCAGTTCTATTTGACCTAGTCCATATCTTTAAACTGTGATGTCAAGACAACTCAGAAATGAATCCAGGGAGGAGAACTTGAAGCTGTTTGCATGAAAACAAAGAAGGCTATGGGAAAATGGGAAAGAAGTGTTCAGAATTATAAATGGAACTTTATTCACTGATCTGTGATTTGGTTACTAGAATGCATAGCGATCATCAAATAAAGAGGGGATAGTAGGACAAACTAGACCTTACCAGGGAAGTGGAGAAAACAGAATCAGTAATAGCTCTTAAAAGGTAAGTGGAAAGGTATCTAATTTAAAAAAAAAAGGAATGGAATAAGAATCGGGACTGGGGTTGTGTACATAATCTTTGGTGGATTAACAGAAACAAAATGGACTTTGGCATCTCGTGTTATCATGACCACATCAGGCACAGCAACAGAGCGGTCTATGAACTGCAAATTCATGTAGCTTGTTTAGGAACGGTTTTGTTTGTTTGAAAACAACTGTTGTTTGGGCATTGTTTCTGAAAGAGTTAATATTTGAGCTATGTCAAACTTCATCCAGTCTGATGATGCCACATCACCTCTGGGTGGACAATTAGTTGGAATCTGGCACAGTCCCCTGCTAGAGACACATGGGCCTTCTCTACTTCTTATTAACAATAGTTAAGATGCCCAGGAGTTAATATAATTCTTATGTAGGTATTGTTATATAATAAAGTACATTCCGTCATCAAAGAAATGAGCCTCCTTCTGCTCAGACTTATTTGTGACCCATCCTCCATCACAGACTAATGAGCAATCCCTTAGACTAAAAAGGATGATGGTTGGCAACATTCTACAGCAAGCACATAACATAAGTGGCTGGGTCCTAAATTTTGCGTCTTAACCAGCAGTAAAGCATTAGTCTGAAACCAGATCATAGGTTTTGTTTATGATAACTATTGCTGATAGTTACAAAATAAAAGGTGATACAATTGTTAGCTAAAATGCATATACAAAGGTTGATGTGGGTACGGTTAAAAGATGAAAGCAAGATCAGTATGTTGTTATCACGGGCCTGTTGCTAGCTTAAAGATTCTCTCTGAGAATTCAGTAGATATGAGTGTTTCTGTGGTTGAATAATTGGATGTTGCTTCTTCAGATGGACTGAGCAGAATTAGTTCTGGAATGGAAAGGAAATTTCTTTATTTTACTTTTATACCGCTGCAGGTTGTAGTCTTGATAGTCTGATTCAATACAACAGCCCTCATCTGGTTTGCTGATCCCTCTATTTAGAACTCCCTCCCTCGTGATACCTCTCCAGGGTCTTTTTGGAGTTCTAATTAAAAAGCTGATTCTCAGACTTTGTTTTACAGGTCAAAACTTAGCTTTTAACTTGTGCCTAGTAGATGGTGGATAGCCTTTGGGGAGTCAGTACTGTAGGGAGTGAGCACTGTATGAGGTTTTCTGTCATGTTTGTGACAAAGCACTAATTATGAACGTCCTCCTACTCTAGGATTTGAGAGTGGCAGTACTGAAATTCATCAACTTTCTTGGAAGGTCTCTGGATAATAAAAGTGTTGACATAATTGTGGAGCGCTCTACTTTTAAGAATATGAAATCAAACCCAAAATCAAACTACGAAAATGCAGGATTTCCTACCTTTGATAATTCAGTTGTAGGATTTATGAGAAAAGGTAAACATTTTAAGTTCCTAATTGTATTACCAATAACTATTAATTTGATAAAGTACATCTAGCAATAATTAAAAGATTTCCAAATTTACCTTTGATACTATAGCTATTTTTTCAAGTGACTGGAAAATCACTTTTCTATATTGATAATGAATGGGATCTTGCTACATAATGCCCTGGATTCATGGGCCTAACACAAGTTGAAAGTGGAGTTGCAGGCAGACAGGATAGTGAAGAAGTCATTTGACATGCTTGCCTTCATTTGTCAGTGCATTGAGTACAGGAGTTATGATGTCACTTTGCAGCTGTACGGGACACTTTTGGAATACTGCATAGAATTCTGGCTAGATGTTGTTAAACTTGAGACAGGACAGAAAAAATTTACAAGGATGTTGCCAGGACTGGAAGGTTTGACCTATACGGAGAGGCTGAATAGGCTGGGGCATTTTTTCCCCTAGAGCATTGGAGACTTGAGGGATAACCATATAGAGGTTTATAAAATCATGAGGGGCATAGTCAAGGTCTTTTTCCTAGAGTGGTGTGTCTAAAACTAGAGGACATAGGTTTAAGGTGAGAGGGAAAAGATTTAAAAGGGACCTGAGGGGTAACATTTTCACACAGAGGGTGGATTGTGTATGGAACGAGCTGCCAAAGGAAGTGGTGGAGGTGGGTACAGTTACATTTTAAAAGGCACCTGGACAGGAATATGAATAGGAAGGGTTTAGAGGGATATGGACCAAATGCAGGTACATAGGACAAGGTCAAATTGTGATGTCTGGTTGGCATGGATGAGTTGGATCGAAGGGTCTGTTTCCATGCTGTATGACTCTAAGCATCTTGCCTGACTGCTGCATCTCATCCAATTTTTTGGTGTGTCATTTCCAGTCCAGAAGTGTTAGAGAGCTGCAGCTGAGTCCTTCATCTACCCTACATCTCCTACATTGTGAAAACAAAGTCAATTTCAACTATGGACAGTCTCAGTTTCAAGTGAAATGACCTAGTCAAAATTGACTGTGATTGTTCTAAGAAATAGGCAGATTAAATGAGCATGTTCTTTTTAGTAGCAACGTCCTCCCACACTACAAAGCAAATGATCTCACAGTGCTACTTTTGTACTTTATCAAATATTAAATGCTCAATTTTTTTTTACTGCTTGCTTACAATACCTAATTTATAAATTCTACTTTTTAAGATCGTTGGGTATCCTTTTAACATTAAGCATGCCCATCATTTGATCTCACTGGTCCTCACTAGGAGAATTTTGCCAATCTTTGCTACAGCCTCTCTAATAATTTAGAGATAACTGTCAAAACTGAATCTGAACTAATCCGACATAAACAAACCTCCCGATTAAACTGAACAAGTTCATAGCCAAAGCTACCCATTTCAGTACTGTCTCAGATATGACTGTAATAGTGACGTTCTAAAGATATATTTCCTTAAAAGTTCTGTTTATTACAATTCCTGTTCTTGTCCATTGTCTTTCTTACTATATTCCATCCTTTCTTTAGGGATAGTAGGCGACTGGAAAAACCATTTCACCGTGGCTGAAAATGAGATGTTTGATAGACTATTCCAGGAGAAAATGAAAGGCGTTCCTCTGAAGTACACATGGGAAATTAATGACTGAAAATGTTGTTTTTTCCCCAGACAATGCATACAGTGCACTGCAAACTGTCTTTTGATTTCATCAAGGTTTAGAACAAACATTTTTTGATTTTTCAGTCTTGTTTCATTCAGTGTTTCAAACAAACTTTGATTTTCTAGCAATAAGCTAGAAGTACTTGCTAGTGTGGCACAATTATTCCAGGTTCACTTACTGCAAGCCACTTTTACCAAACATTGCTAGTATCTGAGCAATAAATACAAAGAAATTCCCACCAGTAATCTTAACTAAGTGAGTCCAAAAGTACATGTTAATACTAACAGGTATATTTCTCAAACTAGTTGTTTGATATGAAACTCACTGATCACTATTACTGATATTAATAATGGAACTTATTTCCTTCAGACTTCCAGCTCATCTGAGCCTTAGTTCTCCAAGTCACAAAGAAGGGATTTCCTGACAGGTTGTGTATGTAATGGCATATAAAAAAAATTGAGGTAATGTACAAATTTATTCAAAAGTAGCTGCGGAAATTACAACCTCAGATGGACAAAACTACACCTAAACTTTCATGAAATGTCACACTTGTGAACAGAAAAAAGCTTGTAGTAAAAATCAGTAAAACATGATGTTCACTTTCAGACAAATGGATTTCTCAATCATAGGTTGTAAAGGTAGGACCTACACACTGCATAGTCTTTAAAATAATTCTAGGTATTTATTTCAAAGATTTCAATACTTATAAATGTGTTTCTTCTCGTCTCAACATTAGAATCATAGAATTCCTACCGTGTGGAAACAGGCCATCCAGCACATCGAGTCCACACTGATCCTCAGAAGAGCATCCCACCCAAACCCCTACCCTATCCCTGTAATCCTGCATACCCCATGGCTAATCCACCTATCTTGTACATCCCTGGACACTATGGGCAATTTAGCATAGCCAATCCACTTAACCTGCACATCTTTGGACTGTGGGAGGAAACCTACGCAGACACGGCGAGCATCTGCAAACTCCTTACAGGGTGGAATCGAACCCAGGTTCCTAGCACTGTGAGGCAGCAGTGCTAACCTGTGAGCCCCCACTAATAAATCAGTGTGCTTGAACTGTGTCAAGAATATCATTTACACAGTAAACTGGTCCTGTAAATTGGAAAATAATAATATTCAGCCTGAATTCAACACTTGCTAAAATAAAACATTAACTTCAATTTGTTCAGCGTTTATTTGGCTTGAACTCCAATAATGAAGACATAGAATTACATATTGTACTAAAGTAGAACAGAACATGTCCAGGGAATTATAAACAAGTCACCTGAACACTAATGAGGGGCGAGAGAAAAAAAAAACAGAATTCTATAATAAAGGACATTTGAAACAAGAAATATAAACAAATAGCATAGTTTCAATAGGGAAAATATTGTTTGACCTACTTTATTGAAATTTTGAGCAGATAACAAGTAGTAATTTACCTGGATTTTCAAAGGGCCTCAATTAAGGAGCCCTACAATAGAACAATGACTAATATTTGGGAATGTGGAGTCAGTGGGCAACTGGCAGAATGGATTGCTAGCTGGCTTCAAGACACCAAGCATTGAGTGGGGAGAAAATAGTTATTTACATGGCAACATATAGGAAATGGTGTTCCACAGGGATGAGTGATGGGACCACTGTTGTTCACAATTTACATCACTGATTTGAAACCAAAAACAATGTCTAAATTTATGAATAACACTAAAGTGAAAATGGATGATAGTGAAACTACAAGACTTTTAAAAACAAAATGGGCAAACAAAATGACAAATAAAGTTCAACACAGATAAATGTGAGGTAGTACATTTTGATAGGAAGAGCAAGGTAGTCATTTATTACTTGCAAAGCAAGAAGCCATCCCCAACTTAAGCCCACATTCCAACTCTTGATCTGTACCCTTATACATATCCAAATACTTTTCAAAATGTTACAAGGATTGCCGCCTTTGCCAACTTTTTAGGCAGCACTTTCCAGATCCCTACAATTGTTCGGATATAACGGTTTCCCCACAAGTCACTTCTGAAATCTTCTATCTTCTAACATAAATCCATGTCCCCTGGTTATAGATGCTTCAATCAAAGATCAACAGAGCCTTCCTATTCAATCTATCTGGAGCCCTATTAATTTGAAACATTTCAATTAGATTTCTCTCAGCCTAGGAATGACAATGGATTCCTTCCAAGGTGTGTATATCTATGCATTCCATGGTTTCTCTGGGGAATATTTTACAGCAATAGGCAGGTTGCTAGAAATCAGAAATAAATAAAGAAAATGCTAGGAACATTCAACAGGGCTGCATCTGTCAAGAAATGAACAGAGTTAACATTCCCTCCCCACAAATGCTGCCATACTGCATTTTCTGGGAGATCTATCCCATGCATGGTCTCAGTGATAAAGCTACTACTTTATGCTTTTAGCACTATATTTTGGGATATCTAATAAAAACTTGCTGCTAAAATCATTATGTTATGACAAGATGCTAATAGTTTTTATTGGCTAATAAAAGGCATGCAATTAATTAGCTCAAATCTGCATAATTAGAAGGAATGAATTTATGAGAATCACTTCAAATAAAAAGCATTTCTATTTAAATCCAAAATAGTTTTGCTTCAGAAAAAAATTTATTGAATACATATGGAAGCATACATGAGAGGGCACAAAAAAGTTCATATTTAATGACCACTGTCTGCTAATTGCAGTATAAAAAGTCGCAGATGCTGTGACTTCATCCTCGTTCAGTAATGTATACAAATTCTGCCACTGTGAATGCTGCTTTTTACAAAATAATTTTTATCGACTTAGTCTTCTTCACTTCCTAAATCAGGATTATAATCTGGATCATCATCATCATCGTCCAATTCTAAATCATCCATGTCTTGGAACAGGGATTCATCAACTTCAACATTGTTGCCTGTTGTAAATAGACATAGAATAGTTTTAATCACAATCCAAATCAGAGTCAAGTGAAGTAGTAATAGTTTTGCAAAGGTTCCAAAGGATCCAGTTAACCAAATATCATTTTAAAATCATAGACAACTTCATAAAGATATAAGAAATGCAGAATCCATAAAAGAAACTAGCCTTTGTGGGCAATCATAAAAGTTTAAAGAACATTGGGGCAGATTTTACAGGTGCTGGGTGTATTCAGGGTCTGGTCATTCACTAGAAAGAAAGTCATTCAGCAGTTGATGCAACAGAAAATGACAAATGAGTCCATAACATGCCAGAGGCAATTAAGCTATGAGAGTTTAAAGCAACTCTCAGTGGGAAGAATACTAACTTTTGAGAGCTGCTGAGCAATCTGATTAGCTAGCAGCTCTAGTAGTCCTGGCAGTGCCAGAAGTCAGTAGTGAGCACTGCTTGAACTGCAAGGAGGAGCAAAAAGAGTGATGATTGCCAGAACGACTTATGTCCTAGGCTTTTAGAGTAGGTAGGGATCCCAGGGAGGGGAGAACACGGGGTGAAGTGGTCATGTTTTGGAAGACAGGCAGCAAGAAACAAACTGGCCATGACATTTGGGATAGGTGGCCCTGATACACACAGTGTATCCCCGAAAAAATTCCCCCTTCCCTCCCTCCTCTTTTTCAACCTGACCTCAATTAGTGTCCTGCTCACTCAGCATACAGCAGATTATGCAGGTCAATTGGTTGGGTAGCAAACTCAATTCACTTTGAACTATTTAAACATGGCAGGCTACCAATTTCAGCATTCTCCCAACTATTGTATTGCAGAGGACAGTTTGGAATGGAAAGGAAGGTGGTGGACAGGGTCCTCTTTGTATTCACAAGCCCACTCCATCAAAACCAAGCCCAGAAAGAGTTTGTAAATTCCAGCCCTAGTATATTGCTTGATGACTAGAAAACTACAAGATAAGAACTGCCCTGTCACATACTATATATATTGAACAATATACATTGAAATTTGAAATTGGCAAAGTGTTTAGCAGCACTAACCCTATCAGTCAAAACTGTTTATAGAACATCAATATAAATTGAAAACAAAATGGGCTCTACCTTCTTCCAAGAACTGAATGTCAGATGTATCAAGGTTATGGTCAGTTTCAAACAGTTGTTTCCCTGAAATGTAAAAACAAAACTTGAAAGATGAAGCACTAAACTTGAAATCATTAAACACACTCAGAATTTTATCAGTACTCATTTAGTTCAATTCTTGGTGATGCAGGGACACCTAACAAAAGAAGGGGACACTAGAAAGAGTCGTGAGTGATCAGAAGTTTGGACAAAGAACTAAGTTTTAAAAAGGGTCTTGGAGGAAAAGAGGGAAGTGCAAATGAAAGGGGCTTGGGGAGGAAATTTGACTTTGCATACGTAACTGAGGGTATAACCACCAAAGATGAGGTCAAAAGTTATTTAGTTAATTCAAGTCTCTTTTAGGTAGTAGGACACGAGGCAATGCATTTGTTTCAGGGTCTGTCCAAATCAAGGTATTCGACTTTGACCACAGCATCTTCCTGCCTTGCACCAAGGCTTTCTACAGTTGATATTTGCATGTGCAAGCCTAAAAGACTAATCATGGTTTTGGATTTTCTGCAATCAAAGGCATACTAACAAGCTCAAATCATAGGTGTGATTTATTCCACTCACCAGGAGCACAGGTGCATCATTTGTCAATTCATAAAGTTTTGATGGAAATACCAGGAGAGTACAAGAGAAGAAAGGAAACAGGGCAAGAGAGAAACTGAAAGTTTGAGAAAAATAGGTGAGAAAACTGGGGATTAGGAAGATGGGGCATAGTGAGGCAACATGCCTTTAAACACAACGATGACAAATTTTAAATTTGTGGACTTGGAAGCCAATGTAGGTCAATGAAGGCAAGAGAAAACAGAACTTAGTGCAGTATAGGGTACAGCCAGAGTTTTATAAGAACAAAGGTCTGTGAATGGTAGAAGTTTGGACAACACTAAGTGGGGTAACCCAGTTTAGAGGTGAGAAAGGCAGTATTAGTGTGAAGTAAACTGTAAAAGTAAGAAAACAAGTTACTAAAGTCGCATTTTAAATCAGATGACACACTAACTGCTGACCACCTACAAAAACCTTGATTTTTAGAGAAGCATGATTATATTACTTCTTAGGGAACAAATACAATATGGCAGCTTCCACCCTCAGATTTGACGTAAAGTATCTACATTCCCAATTCTGCATGAAAATATCAAGAAAACAGATGTCACAATTAGAAAAGAAAGACATTTAATATTAAGCTGCTTTCACTTTCAAAACAAGCATATCTAACATACCTGTTAATTTAACTTTTCCAGCCTGCTCCTCTTCTCTTTGTCGTTTTCTTCTGATTTCAGCTAACTCTGCATCAAATTTTGCTTTCCATGATAAGAAATTCTCAATTGTAACTGGTGTACCATGGAAAACAGCCTACAAGAGAGTGTGCAGAAAGTAGAAATCTTTAACGAGCATATTTTATGGATTCCAGTGAGTGAATTACATATCTATAACTCAGTAAGAGGGCTAAAATTGTAAGAGATAGCAAAACTAAAAATCATGGTAAAACTACAGTCATTGAATACATTTTGAGCTGAGTATAGAAGTTTCAAAGAAGTGTTAATTCCTATATCCAAATGGTGCAAGGATATTTTATTCTTAAATCTTTGCTAGAGCTGCTTAAATACACAGCAGTTTGAATCTCAAAGGGAGCCGACTGCACTACTTTCATAAATGTAACTGTGGATACTGCAGGTTGTCTTCCTACCGACTGGAAGGTAGTAGATATAACCCCACTGTTTAAGGGAGCAACCTGTCAGTTTGTCATCAGTGGTTAGAAAAATGTTAGAAGCTATTATAAAGGATGTGATAACTGGACATTTATAAAAGGGTAGTAAAATTAGGCAGAGTCCACATGGATTTACGAAATGGAAATCACATTTGACAAACTTGTTGGGAGTTACTTGTAGTATAGACGAAGGAAGATCAGTGGATGGAGTGTATTTGGATTTTCGGAAGGCTTTTAGTAGAGTGCCATAAAAGGAAATTAACATCAGATTAGAGTGCGTTGGAATTTTTGTGGTGGGGGAAAAGCAAGAGGTAGCTGGGGCCCAGGTGGACAAGAGAGGGAGGGAGGGAGGGACAGAAAGTTAGTTTACAGCGAGAAAGGAAAAACAGTAGAAATATACAGAACATGCTCAGGATGGCAGGCTGTTATTAGTGGGGTATCCTGATGTGGAGGTGCCAGCGTTGGACTGAGGTGGACAAGGTCAGAAATCAGACACCAGGTTATAGTCCAACAGGTTTATTTGAAATCATAAGCTTTCGGAGCGTAGCTCCTTCATCAGGTGAAGTGAAGAGAAGCACACAGACAATGAACTTATAGACAGAGAGATCAAAAGGTCATACAAATGGCGTGAGTGGAGTGTCGAATAGAAATCTCTGCAGGTGATGAAAAGTATCAGACGGTGTGAGTAAAGTGTCAACAGCTGAATAACAAATTAAGGGATAACCTATAATCCAATTAAATGAGATAGAGAGTTATTTTTAATTCTTTTATGGTGGTGCTGGAACCAAATGACTCAAATAACATGACAGGTATAATAACCAATCAAGGTGATGGTGTCAAAACGTGATAAATTGTTATGATCTCTCTACCTTAATTAGCTTGTACAGTTTTCGATTACTAACTACTTTGGTTAGACCCTGGGCATGCGACTCTTATACCTATCATGTTATTCCAGTCATTTAGTTTGTCTTTGGTCTGTCGTTTGATTTCTGACTTTAGGATACACAGAATCAATGTTAGATTCACAGCTGGTCTCAGTCTATACCAATGTTTTAGATGTGGGCATCAATTGTAATATTAACAAATTTGTTGATGATACCAATTTGAGTGGGGATGCAAGGGCACTTCATGTCTAAGTGAGTGACCCAAAAGATGGCAGGTGGAATATGATGCAGATAAATTTAATGCTATTCACTTTGGTTGAAGAAACAAAGGCAGGATATTTCTTAGCAAGATTAGGAACCAGTATCGAAAGGGATCTGGATTTCCTTGTCCATAAGTCACTAAAAGTTAGCACGCAGATGCAGCAAGCAATTAGGATAGCAAACATTGGTTAGCATTTATTTCAAAGGGATTGGAGTACATAAGTAAAGATATCTTCTGCAGTTTGTTCAGAGGCTTGGTGAGATTGTACCTGGAGTACTGCATGTTTTTTAGATCTCGTTATCTAAGAAAGGATATACTTGTCAAAGGGCAATTGCAACTGAGTTTCAGCAGATTAATTCCTGGGATGGAGGGATTGTCTTAAGAATAAATCAAGTTGTAGATAGGATGCAATCGAGAAAGAGAAGTCATAGTTTTGGGATAAGAGATAGCAGATTTACAAGAGAATTAGGAGCAGTTACTTCTCTCGAAGGGTCATGAATCTGTGGAATTTGTTACTTTGGTGTGTTGGATGCTGGGACATTAAATTTACTCAATGGAGGAGATAGACAGATTGTTATTTAGTAATGGGTAGAAGGTATGGAGATTAGGCAGGCAAGTGTAATTGAGACAGAGATGAAATCAGCCATGAATGTCTCAAATGGCACAGCAGGCTTGAGGGGCTGCATTGTCTACTCCTGCTCCTAGTTCTTATAATCTTATGTAGAATAAACAGAAGTGAATAAGACCAAGTTAAAGACAAAGGGATAGCTTGGTCACAATTCTTCAAAATCTGACAAGTTTCTTTTGACACCTATGACACCTTTTGACACATAGGTTTCACACCTATGATCGCTATATAGGGCTAGCAGTAGAGAACAAATTTGAAAACAATATTAGCTATCTCAGCCAAAGTTTACAATAGACAACACTGCAATTCAGTGCTGGTCACAGTGAATCTGAACATTAGCTAACGTATATTTTCACCTTGTACACAACTATAATAATATATATCAATGATATCATGAATGGGGGTCGTAGGGAGAATAGTGGGCAGATATTCTGATTCACTTATGTTTGCTTAGCATAGCTTTGTAAGGAAAATGTTTAATGACAGAATGCTGTGGAATTCAAACACCTTGCACCAAAATACAGTCTCCATTGCATTATACTAGATACTAGTGGGAGAATCACACCTTGTGTGTGAAATTTCATAACGCATATAACAATTCAGATGAAATAATGTAGTAATGACCAGTGGATCCTTTTCCTTCCTGTTCATCATCAATTTGTTTCCACACATCTTTTAGGCAAGGAAATCAAAGGTTATCAGGAATAAACAGGAATATGAAATTCAAAACACTAATAGATCAGCCAGGAACTTATTGAATAACACAGCAAGTTTGAGGGACTGTGTGGCTACTTCTGCTTCTGATTCATATGTTCAGATGGTGTGTGGACAGTACAAGGTCGCCAACATATTGGACGGCCTGACTTGTAAATGCACATCACTGTTACAAGGTAACTGGACATGTCCTGTGACCAAGATCATGTGCAGAGATAGCATGTGTGACTTGGGTTGGTATATCATGGCTATGATGAGCATGTGCAAGTTTTTTTTAAATTATGGGGTGGTGGGGGGTGACGGTGTGGAGAAGAATAAGAGCAGTCAGAAAGGAATTGTGCTAGGGTCAAATTTCACACCAACTGTTTTTCTTACTGGTCTACAATATATGGTTTCCTTTAACGCATCACTGATGGTTGATGTTTCAACCATTACAGCTTAAATCTTGGTATACTAATTCCCAGATACAAATATATTCTCAAATTCCCTTTCTTTAACCACCTATACTAATTATAAAAATGCAAGTTGCTACAAATAAATATAAATTGATGGGTCGGAGAACGGGGTGTAAGCCAAGGTACTTTGGCATAAACAAATAAGGGAGAAGGAACAGAGATAATAACAGACTAGAGCAAAAGTCTTAGGAAGTGAAAGAATTTCTACAGGCCATACACCTGGCTTAACTGCAGGAACAGTATTACATGTAATCGTGGAACAAGGAATGCAAAGCATAATTAAACTGATAATCTAGATTAGTAGCTGAACTACAACAAAGACTGAAATTGGGAATAATGCAGTTACACCAGAGAAAAGGTATGTTAGAGAAGAGATTATTGAAACAATGAAAGTTCCAAGCAAGTATAGATAAACCAAACTCCAATATGTCACTTAATTTCAAAGTCTAAAGGTGAGTTTGGGAACCAAGTTCAAAAATTGCATATGAACAGATGAATTTAATTACTTGATACCATGCAAGATAAAAATGTGAAACAAGCATCTTTAGTGGCTGTGTGTAGATATTATCAATTATTTTATAAGAAACCAAATATATGTTTAATAGAAATAATGTTCTCAGGCATGACAGACTGTATTTCTATAATTTTAAACATTTAGCCTAGATATATGGATCAGTTGTGTACAGAATCACATTCTGTTCTTCAAACCTTTTCAACTTCTTCGGCTTCTTTTTCTTTTAATAACTTTTCCTCTTCTTTGCGGAACTTTATTTGATCCACAATTTCATTTAACTTTTCCTGTACAGCCGTCACTAAAGTGAATATCATTACCATCCCAATGTTTTCTTGTATCTGCAAAGAAAGACATATTGTACAATGTAAGAACCAGATGAAAGAACAAAATTATTTCACCAGAATATAAGCGATGGCAGTGATCACTATCATGACCCAGATGCAAAGCCTGAAAGTGAATCTGAGATTTGGAAGAAAATTCAACTGTTGAAAATAATCAAGTCTTGTTACAAAAACTAATATGCAATGCCATTTTGATTCCTAATTATTTAATGCCATTTGATTTTCCTTTTAGAAATGACTGACTTTCCAAACATTCCTTTGCCCTTCTAACCTATAATGTAGTTTATACTCACAATCTCATACTAGTAAGACAGCAGAAGATGGCATGCACTGGCATTATACTACAAAAGGCGTATGAAGGAATTTTGAATATTGCTCTAAAAGTGGCAGAGAATTACCACAGAACATTTCAATAATGTTTTTATATATACATAAAATGTGCCCAACTTGAAATACTAAGGTTGGTATTTCGGTTGTTTAAATAATGTAGCAGAGGTCTTACGCCATGGCAAGTATCAGCATCAAGGAGACAGCCAAGTTTTGAGTTTCACTGCATTCCGAACCTAAATCATGTTGCTACTGGTAGCAGCATTAAAAATAATTTTTAAAAAATCAATTGGCTGAGAAGAGAGGCAAAAACAAAATCCAGGAGTATGTGGACAAACATCTTAAATTCACCATGGCATCTAGAAGGTAGCTTGAAGACTGGGACACAAAAGTTTTCAAGGAGGAGAAGGGGTGCAGTGGGGGCTTTTGCTTCAGAATGTTGGGATTGCCTGAACACAAATTGCTCCTGAATTGACTGTGACATCTAAAACGTGCTGCAAATTAATCAACACTTCAGACTGCAAGCACCAATTACAGTACAGCTTTTTTTTTTAAATTCATTCATGGGATGAAGGTGTCACTGGCTATGCAGCTTTTATTGCCCATCCCTAATTGCCCAGTGGGCAATTAAGAGTCAACCACATTGCTGTGGGTCTGGAGTCACATGTAGGCCAGACCAGGTAAGGATGGCAGTTTCTTCCCTAGAACCAGATGGGTTTTTCCAACAATCAACAATGGATTCACGGTCATCATTTGATTCTTAATTCCAGACGTTTATTGAATTCAAATTCCACCATCTGCTGTGGTAGGATTCGAACCTGGGGCCACAGAACGCCATCTGGGTCTCTGGAATAGCAGTCCACAAATAATACCACGAGGCCATTGCCTCCCCCATAGCAGTAGCAGTACTACAGATGCAACTGAGATATACTGCTAGGTGCTAGATTAATAGACTGAAGTAAAATAATTTTGAACAAAAACAAAGTTGCTGGAAAAGCTCAGCAGGTCTGGCAGCATCTGTGAAGGAGAAAGCAGAGTTAACACTTTGGGTCCAGTGACCCTTCCTCAGAACTGCTGAGGAAGGGTCACCAGGCCCGAAACATTAACTCTGTTTTCTCCTTCACAGATGCTGCCAGACCT